GGATGCGTTTGCCTTTGCTTGAGGCTGGACTAATCCAAACTGTTTTCCCTAACATACCTCTCAGGTGCACTACAGGGACTTCATCTATGGTTTGAAGGGGCTCTGATTGGGCAGGGCCAGCTCAGTTGACAGAGCCTCTAGTGTTGACTAACCAGGTGGCCTTCACTATGTGCTGATCCCAATGCTTGAAAGTCCCCCCACCCAATGCCTTCAAAGTGGTTATCAACAGTCCATTACACCATTCAAGCTTCACAGTGGCTGGTTCATAATAGGGGATATGATATATCCACTCAATACCTTACTCTTTAGCCCAGGTGGTGACTAGGCTATTGTTGAAATGAGTTCCATTGTCTGACTCAATTCTTTCTGAGGGGTGATTTTTCCCAGCTTTTGGCCCCTTTCTCCTTCAGGTCTGCTACAAAAGCTTTTGAAAAGGTTGAATTCCCTCTAGGGAATGCTAGGGATAGCATTATCTTGTTGCTGTGTCTGTGTCCTAGTTAGAGCAGCTGGGACCAGTTCATCACTGTGTGGGTGTAACCCAAACTGTGTATTCTACATCCTCTATGTCATTTCCCAGGAACTGTTAACAATAGACCATTTGCAGCAGCTGCCCAGAGCACACCTGACCCCTCAGGCTATAAGCTGGGTGTTAAGAAGCCTGTGAGATAGGAGGATGTTCCTATCCTCACACCAATGACTCAGGTGTGATAACTCCCCTCCAGGGAGTCATTAGCACCTCCACACCCAGCCTGAGGGGTCATGTCTGCTAATGGGCCACCAAGGATTCCAAAAATATCTCACGACTCACAATCACCCACTGTGGAACTCCCCACCCTGGGGGAGGTAATGGGCATTCCCACTTGAACCTGAGTGTATATAATCTTGGGGTCTTGGGACTTCTGGCCCCACTCGTCAGATCCAGGAGGACCAGAACCTCGACCAGACTGCAACCACCACTCTCGACCAGAGTGTGACCAGCACTCTCACCAACAGGTTTTCCTTTCCTTTTACTTTGGACTCAGGGGGACCACGTGGGGCTCAGCACAGGGGCCAACGAACACCATTCTGTTCATGCCCCAGGGTGCTGGGTTATACATCTGGATTTTGTGAGTTAAAACCAATTGTCCGTATAATTGTATTTATTGTATTATTTTTATTAAATTGTAACTCTGACTTATAATCTCTTTTGAGTTGGGTTCATTTATCCTGCCTGTTTACCTTTAAACCAGCACAGTCTGCCAGGTTTCCTCAGTATGGTCTACCTCGTGTTTGGAGACAGGACCAAGATTTCTAGGGAAGTTTTCCAGAGGCCTGCCCCAGGGGTGGATAACCTTGACTGGCATGGAATGTGGGAGGACATGGGCCAGTTTTTGGAGAATTTTTCTCCTCTAATGGTCTGAAAGTTCACCCCTGAACAACTTCAAGACCCTATTAAAGTGATAAGATCTGTGAAGGAAAAATGCTGTGGCAGCTCCAGAGAGGGGCATCTTACTGTGACATGCTGGGCCCTGGCCATTGCCTACCGAACACTGCTTGGTATGGTACAGCACCTTCGGTAGGAAAGGAAAGGAAACAAAATAACAGACACCATGGCCACTCAGGTTGTAGTTAAGCTAGAAGGGCAACCCAAGCCAGAAGAAGTTGCCCCTGTCCAAAAGAGGAAGTACAAGACCAAATCAGTTCATTCTCTCCACTGACGGTTCCTGCCATATCATAGGGATACATCGAAAATGGAAGGTGATGAATGGAGTCCTATGCAGCGAGTCACAGAAGCTATTGAGGGACAAGATGTATCAAGTCAGGTTGCAGAGCTGAAAGCCATCCAGCTGGCTTTAGATATTGCTGAATGAAACGGCCAGCGTTCTACCTCTACACTGACTCGTGGATGGTAGCAAATGCTCTGTGGGGTTGGCTAGAACAATGGAAAAAGACCAATTGGCAGTGCAGAGGTAAACCCACCTGGGCTGCTGAATTGTGGCAAGGCATCACTGACAAGGTAGAGAAGTTGGCTGTAAAATTACATCATGTAGATTCACACGTACCCAAGAGTCGGGCTACTGAAGAACATCACAACAATGGACAGGTGCATTGGGCTGCCAAGATTAAAGTGTCTCAGGTGGATCTGCACTGGCAACATAAGGGTGAATTATTTCTGGCTCAGTGGGCCCATGATGCCTCAGGTTATCAGGGAAGAGATGCAACATACAGATGGGCTTGTGATCGAGGGGTGGACTTAACCATGGACACTATCTCCTAGGTTATCCAGAACTGTGAAACATGTACTGCGATCAAGCAGGCCAAGCGGGTAAAGCCTCTGTGGTGATGGTCATAATATAAATATGGAGAGGCCTGGCAGATCAATTACATCACACTCCTGCAGACCCACCAAGGCAAGCACTACATGCTGACAATGGTGGGAACAACCACTGGATGGCTGGAGATGTACCCTGGGCCTCACATCACTGCCCAGAACACCATCTGTGGCCTTGAAAAGCATGTCCTGTGGTGACATGGCACCTCAGAAAGAATTGAGTTGGACAACAGAACTCATTTCAAAAATAGCCTCATAGACATCCGGGCCAGAGAGCACGGTATTGAGTGGGTGTATCATATTCCCTATCATGCACCAGCCTCTGTGAAAATTGAATGGTACAATGCACTGTTAAAAACCACATTGAAAGCAATGGGCAATGGAACTTTTAAACATTGGGATTTACATTTAGCAGAGGCCACCTGGTTAGTTAACACTAGAGGTTCTACCAATTGAGCTGGCCCTGCCCAATCAAAACCTCCACATACCATAGAAGAGGATAAAGTCCCTGTGGTGCATATGAGGAATATGTTAGGGAAGACAGTTTGGATCAGTCCTGCCTCAAGCAAAGGCAAACCCATCTGTGGGATTGTTTTTGCTCAAGGACCTGGGGACACTTGGTGGGTAATGCAGAGGGATGGGGAAACACGATGTGTACCTCAAGTGGATTTGATTTTTGGGTGAGAACAGTGATGTTGAATTGTATAATATTGGTTGCTGAATGACACTGCCACTGTATGCCATAACTACCATGGGCAATGAATATGGACTGTTCCAGATACACCAGTCGTGAGGTCCTGATGCAGCTTGCAACCAGTTGACAGCACAGCAGCCCTCCTTCCCTGGAAGACATCTAGGACAGAGAGAACCCACAGTAATGGACTAAATGACCTCAATAGACATCTTGGAGGGACAGCCATTAACTATGGAAATGATACCTGTGTCTGTATATATATATATATATTTATGTGTTTGTATACAGTTGGAAGGTGTAGGATCTGGGCATGATGTAGATGGTATAGAATAATGGGTGGGTAATGTCCTGGTTCTGGCCAGGACAGGGGTAATTTTTGCAGTAGCCAGGAGGGGCGGTTATTCTATACCACCTCGTTGTTGGGGTAGCGCGGTGGTGGTTCATGTATTACCGGGCTTCGTGTAGTGAGCAATCACACATGAATCATTTGCCTCTTTCTTGCACATTGTTATTAGTATTGTTGCTGTTACTGTTCGTTTCTTATTTCATTGCTGTTTCCAGTAAATTTTTCTTATCTCAACCTGTGATCTTTACCTTTTGTGCCTCCAGTTCTCCTCTTCCAGCCTGCTGCAGGGGGAAGGGGGAGGGGGGAGTGAGTGAGTGGCATGTGGTTTGGAGTGTTTCAGTGGGAACACTAAATTGGGGAATACCATTCCTAAACCACAACAGAGGGGACACAACTAGGCCAGCTGACCCATATTGCTTACAGAACTACCTCTACTCTGTGCAAATACTCAACCCATGAAATAATGTTAACAATGCATTATAACAGGAAGCTGTATATGCTTAAAGAAGCCACAATATTTTGCCCATAAACCTCCAGAACAACATGGACATTTCATATAACCCAAACAGAATGTTCAGAAACCATTACAGCCTTTTCTGCACTATATGAACCACGAACTCCTGAATTATGAGGGTTATGAAAATTTTGCTTTTTTCCAGGGAAGCAATTATAATACGTACAACTTTTTCCAATTCATCCAGCATTTTGTTCTCTCAAGGTAACAGATAAAATTTGCTATCTGAATTTGACACATGATATTATTGAACTCCATAATTGCTGAGGTATTTGGAAAGGACTTTTTCCACCAAAGCTTCTGAACTTAAGTTAGCTGCTATGCTTTTAGAATTTGCCCGAGTTAGTCTACTTACAGAGCTTATAATTAATCTCAGAGTCTCCTTTTGCTGGATAGAATTTACCCAGACTTCCACCCAGTTTACCCTCCCTCAGAGGCAAAAACAACAGCTAGATTAACCTTGACTACTTTCCTGTTTACTATCAGCATGGTTAAGAAAGGTTAATTTTTACTTGTATCTGGACATTTAACCAGCTAAACAAGGTATACTTATCTTCCAACTGAGATACATACATTTATTTTCTGAATGGTTAGTCAGCCAAGTGACATGCTTGCTTCCTTCTGTTCAGCCATCCAGCCAAGAAAATTCATTGCTCGCCATCCTTAAGGTGGTCAAGTGGCAAATACTACCACCCAACTGTTTATAAACCCAACAAATTGCTTTACAGACCAACATTGTACAGTATGTAAGTAACCAAGAAACTAGGTACCAGTGACTCAAACTTTCATCAGGACAAAGATGATGTTTAATTTTCCTGTATCATAACTTTAGGACAGCTCCAACAGAGAGAAATGGCATAAGAACCATCTACTTACTGTCCTCAAGGACTACACTATACAGTTATGTGAAAGGCAAGTACCAGTTGCCCAACGAGAAACTATTTTCTATCACGCATCATATAGAGCTCTTAGTAATAGATCTTATTTTATAGGGAAATCTAAAAAATAGAATGAATACAAATTGACTTAGTAAGTGACATGGTGATATTGATACATAAAAATTAGGATGTGCATTTTACATGGTGCATCACTGTACTGACAAGTCCAAAAAAGCATTAAAAAATTCCAAACAAACCTGCTGGAGCTACGAGATCTTCTTGAAGAGCTATAGCTTCTTGGGGGTGTTCTGGATCTCTTCTCTTTCTTCTTTTTATCATCTCTCTCTTTTTCTCTTTCTCGCTCCTTCTTCTCCTTCTTCTCATCTTTCTCCTTTTCTTTGTCTCTGTCCTTCTCTTTTTCCCCTCTGTCCTTATCTCCCTCCTTGTCCTTAATCTTATCTCTGTCCTTCTCCCTCTCTTTCATAACATCATCTTTTTCCTTGTTCTGGTCTACCTCTTCTCTGTCTTTTTCCTTCTCATTATCTTTGTCCTTTTCCCTGTCCTTGTCCCTGTCCTTATCTTTGTCCGCATCCTTATCCCTGTCTCTATCCCTATCCTTGTCTCTGACTCTCTCTCGATCTTTATGCCGCTCTTTCTCTCTCTCCCGGTCCTTCTCCTTGTCCTTATCCCTGTTTCTTTCTTTATCTCGCTCTCTTTCCCTTTCTTTGTCTCTGTCCCAGTTTCTCTCCTTCTCTTTGTCTCGATCTCTCTCCTTTTCTTTGGCCTTCTCTTTTTCCTTGACCTTTTCTTTGTCTCTTTTCTTGTCCCTGTGAAAAGTCAAACACGAATTCATTAACTAATATTTGAACTTTCCAATAAAAATTACAACTAACTCTTCAACATACATTACTTTTTCAAGAGAAAATAGGTGTTTCTGTTGAAAAATAGTAATTATTACAAATTTTCATTTGTCACCCCTGTTTACCATGAGGGAGAGGCTATACAGATAGGAAAAATTTGGAAATCAAACTGGGGAAGAGGGGGCAAAAATCAAATCAAACTGTAATCTTCAAAGTGATATTATTACACTTTGAAAGAATATGTCTTTTCACCTCACAGCTACGTTACCATTCATACATAAATCTCCCACATTTTGTCAGGAGTAAGACAAACTTTACAATTTGTAAATTCATTCTTTACTAAATATGTGTCCATGTAAAATAGACTGCAGATTAACCACCCCCATGTGAATAATGACAGTTGACTGAAGTCTTTATTCTATGATGTTCTCTCACATAAACATCTTGTAACTGCTTGGAAATCCAACATCAGTTAATACACAGAAACAAAAAAACAGGGATAAAATTTCACCACATTCCCTCAAAAGGTAGATGTAAGGTCAAAACTCAACCAAGACAATTCAATTATCTGTAATGTCACTAGGAATTTGAAAATTATTGAAAAATCAGTAAGACCATAAAAACAGAAGCAAGGTAACAGAACAAGTCAGCTGCTTTGGGATAGGGAGAATGATACATGTTCATAAAAACAGAGAGAAAAATTCCACTAGATGTTCTAGTAGTCAAGTCAAATAAAAATTTATTAATCATAGAATATCTTGAGTTGGAAGGGACCCACAAGGATCATCAAAGTCCAACTCCTGGCCCTGCACAAGACAACCCTAAGAATCATACCATGTGCCTGAGAGCATTGTCCAAATGCTTCTTGAACTCCCTGGGGAGCCTGATCAAGTGCCCAACCACCTTCTGGGTGAAGAACCTTTTCCTAATATCCAACCTAAATATCCCCTGACACAACTTCATGCTGTTCCCTCAGGTCCTGTCACTGGTCACCAGAGAAAAAAGATCGGTGCCTGCCCCTCCACTTTGTGAGCAAGCTGTAGACTGTGACAAAGTCTCCCCTCAGTCTCCTTTTTTCCAGGCTGAACAAACCAAGTGACCTCAACCACTCCTCATATGGCTTTCCCTCTAGACCCTTCATCATCTTTGTAGCCTTCCTTTGGACACTTTCAAATAGGTTTATATCTTTCTTACATTATGGTGCCCAAAACAACACACATTTAGATCACAGCTTTGGCTGGAAGATTACATTTTGATAAAGGATTATTTGGAAGCATGAGACTCAACCATCTTTCTAACAAAGGAGACACATGACTCCTAGACCTGCCTCTAGGATATATATACACACAGCCCCCACCTTTCTTCACTGGAACAAGTGTCTGGCTAATAATTAGTAGGTTTGTTTCATGGTCTGTGACCTGAAGATTTTGGTTCCCATCAGGTTTTGGCAAATACCTTTTTAGATGTCTCACAGAAGGAATGTATGATCATGAAGATGAATCAGCACACAATCCCTGCAATAGCAAGGGGTTTCAAAATGACCCAAGAAGCATTTTCCAGTTATTTATCACAGAGATTTCATTGGATTTGCCCCTTCCAGTGAGCAGATATCTCAAGAAGTTCCAGAAAACAGCAATGGAGTCAAAAGGATCCATCAAAGAAGCCCAGTTATGTAGCCTACCACCTAACTGTTCCCACTGAGGTCCACAGATCTGCAATTCTCTTTCCCACAAAACTTTTCTCCTCAGAAAACAAGACACAACTGCACAACCTAAGTATGAAGTTCCCTTTAAATGAGTCAGGGGAATTAAAGAGATGAAACAGAAAGAAAAGTACCAAGGCTTCTATTCATGAAGTGACTTTTACAGGCACTTTTGTCTTGTGATTATTCACTATTTTACCCCTCAGAAAATTAAATTATCATCCAAGGAGATAAAGGAATTATTTTTATGGAATTTCACAGTTAAATAATTAGACAATCAGACTTAAAAATTAATAGACTAGGTAAAATATAGGTGTATTAGATGCAGAAATGTAAATATGTCACATAACAGACATATGCATCTGTGCCTACAGCAGTGTATGGCCAATATGAAATAGCCAAAGGCAAAAATAAAATCCCGTGCACAAAAACTTTATACATGTTCTCAGAATGCAGGATCAAGTTCAGCATGAATCCAAACTATAACTGTTGACAAAGCTGAAGAAGCATTATCCACTTTTTTTGTAGCACAGGCTACACAGAACATAACTAATTCATTGGTTCAAGTCGGGCAATTAAAGTTACCTAATTTCAATCAGCTTGATGTTGGTATAAATGTAGACTAGACTTTGCTATCAAAGTTTAGGTACCTCATTGTTGTAGTTTAACCCCTGTAGGCATCATATGAACTACTATGAAGAAAATTAACTATATCTCAGCCAAAACCAGTACACTCAGCACAAAAAAATTACTTTCTATTCTTTTGTTCCACGAACAAAGCCTAGGGACAGGCTAAAGCATTTAGAGATTCCATTCTTTGCCATTACCTAAAAGGTTTGTTAGATTTTTTCAAAAACTTTGTACCATGTGCTAAGAACAGTTTAATTTCTGAGGAATGAAACTCACCGAGAATAAGACCGACTTCTTGATTTCCACCTTTCCCTAGATCTAGACCGTTTTTTCAGGGGACTTCTGGATTTGCGTCTGTCCTTATGTCTTGAGAGTGACCTGTTGCCAGATCTACTTCTATATGAATAATGCCAGAAGAAAAATACTTTATTATTGAAACTTCATAAAAACTAGATCAACCAAGAAGGAAATAACCCCCCCACTAAATCTTGCCTCACTACATAAAATTATATAGAGTTACACCTCAGTAATATACTGCCTACCAACATTTTCGTAAAAATGTATACTTTAAGCTCTACCAGGTGCACATGCTCTCCTTTGAAACAATGCACCATTTAAGCAACACTCATGTACTCCTGACAGTAATATCAGAGGACAACAGAGATGACACCCGTGTGTGGTGTGACCAGGTGGATGATCTGCTCAGCCTGGTGGCAGAGCTTAAAGAGGAAGTGGAGAGGCTGAGGAGTGTCAGGGAGTGTGAGAAAAACAGACTGGTGGAGTCACACCCTTCCATCCCTGAGAGAAATGCAGCAGACGGAAGCTTGGCAAGAGTCAGAGGAGCCCCGACCCTCTTGCCATCAGGCAGAAGGAGGGGACCTAAAAGATGGGGAGGAATGGAAACAGGTCCCTGCTTGGGGTTGTAGGAGAATCTCCTCCTGGCCTCCCTCACCTTCCCAAAATGCCCTTACAGAATAGGTATGAGGCTCTGGAACTCAAGGGTCAGGCAAATGATAACAGAGGTGAAGGTCTATCTGGAGGGTTGCCCAGAACAAGTCAGTCACCCACAACTATGGGTGTTAAAAAAGAAAGAAGGGTAATTGTAGTGGGCGACTCCCTTCTGAGGGGAACCGAGGGCCCAGTATGCCAATTGGACCCACCCCACAAGGAAGTCTGCTGCCTCCCTGGGGCCTGGGTGAGAGATATTACCAGAAGACTCCCTGGACTAATTAAGCGCTCTGATTATTACCCACTGCTGGTTGTCCAGGTTGGCAGCAATGAGGTTGATGAGAGAAGTCCTAGGGCAATCAAAAAGGACCTCAAAGAATTGGGGTGACTGGTTGAAGGGACAGGAGCACAGGTGGTGTTTTCCTTGATTCCTTTGGTAGCAGCAAAGAATGCCAAAAGGAAGAGGAGAACCCACCTCGTCAACACATGGCTTAAAGACTGGTGCCATTGGTGGAATTTTGGCTTTTTCGATCATGAGGTGGTTTATATGGCACCAAGCCTGCTGGAGACAGATGAGGTTTGCCTGTCTAAAAGAGGGAAAAGGATTCTAGCCTGTGAGTTGCCAGGGCTGATTGAGAGGGCTTTAATCTAGGTTTGAAGGGGGAAGGAGAAAAGAACAGGCTCAGCAGAGATGAATGAAGGGGTGAAATCAATAGCCCAGCTGAAATGCATCTACACCCCACTGACTCTGAAGTGTGCTGGTGTAGTGGGTTTCTGTGGCTGGGTTTGGGTAGAGGGGGCGGGCTACAGGGGTGGCTTTTGTTAGAAGCTGCTAAAAGCTTCCCCTGTCTGGTGGAGCCAATACCAGCCGGCTCCAGGACAGGATTCCTGCCGCTGGCCAAGGCCAAGCAAATCAGAAGTAATAGTAACGCCTCTGTGATAACATATTTTAGAACAGAAAGGTATTGCACAGAAAAGAATTCCAGCCAGGGAAGAGTGGAGTGAGAACATGGGAACAACAATGTAGACACCAAGGTCAGTGCAGAAGGAGGGGGAGGAGGTGCACCAGATGCCGGAGCGGAGGCCCCTGCAGCCTGTGGTGAAGACCATGGTGGAGCAGGCTGTCCCCCTGCAGCCCATGGACGACCATCAGGGTGCAGAGACCCACCTGCAGCCCATGGAGGAGCCCATGCTGGAGCAGGTGGATGCATGAAGGAGGCTGTGATCCTGTGGGAGGCCCAAGATGGAGCAGGGTCTTGCCGGAAAACTGCAGCCTGTGGAGAGGGAAGCCCACACTGGAGCAGGTTTTTCTTGGGTAGGACTTGTGGCTCCTGTGGGGGACCCACGCTGGTTCAGCTCATTCGTGAAGGACTGCACCCCATGGAGAAGTGACCCACAGGACAGCAGTTTGGGAAGAACTGCTGCCCGAGGGATGGACTCACGCCGAAGAGGTCCATCAAGGACTGTCTCCCGTGGGAGGGACCCCATGGGAGCAGGGGAAGGACTTCTCTCCCTGAGCAGCAGCAGAAACAACAACTGACCGTAACCCCCATTCCCTGTCCTCCTGCATCGCTGAGGGGGAGAAGGGAGAACATGGAAGGAAGGAGGGGTGGGGGGAAGGTGTTTTTAAGACTGTTTTATTTCTCACTCTTTGGCTCTTATCCTGTTAGTAATAAATTTAAGTACTATCCTGTCCTGGTTAGAACGGCTGGGACCAATTCATCACTGGATGGGTGTAACCCAAAACTGTGTATTCTATAGCCTCCATGCCATTTCCCAAAAACTGTTGTCAGTAGAGGCCTGCAAGGTGGGAAGATGTTCCTGTACCCTTCTATGGAATTCCCTGCTCTGATACCCTTTTATGGAATTCCCCACTCTGATACCCTTATATGGAATTCCCCGCTCTGATACCCTTTTATGGAGGAGGGACTGAGCATCCGCATGCCCTTTTATGGAATTCCCTACTCTGAGGGAGGGACTGAGCACTCCCGCCTATACTGGAGAGTATATAACTGGGAGTTTCAGAACCTTGCCACCTCTCGTGGGATCCAGAGGAAGATTGCAGACCACTGCCTTCAACTAGACTGCAGACCACTGCCTTCAACTAGACTGCAGACCACCGCCTTCAACCAGACTGGGACCACCACCCTCGACTGGACTGCAATCACCACTTCTGACCAGACTGCAGCAGCTCTCCCACCAGCAGGTTTATCCCCTCTCCCTTTGCTTTGGACTCGGGGGTGGGCCAAGGTACACCACTTTTGTTCATACCCCAGGGTGCTGGGTTATACATTTGGGTTTTGTGGGTTAAAACCAATTGTCTGTCTGTATAATTGTACTTATTGCATTATTTTAATAAATTGTTATTCTGACTTATAAATCTCTCTTTTGAATTGAGTTCATTTTCCCTTGCTGGTTAACTTTTAAACCAGCACATATCCCCACTTTGAGTCTGTTTTGCCCATGAAGGTAATCAGTAGCTGACCTCTCCCAGCTGTTATCTCAACTCATGAATCCTTAGTTGCTTTTTTTCTCCTCTGTCCAGTTGCAGAGGGAAGTGAGAGTGGCTTTAGTGGGTACCTGGCATCCAGCCAGGGTCAACCCGCTACAGCTGGCCACACTGGAACACATTCAGTCTTATGGGGACAAGCCATTGACTCCTAAGCTAATACAAACCAACAAGGAAACACCAGGAAATTATCTCAAAGGAATTAAGGGGTGTTCCTCTAGGAAGGCAACACGGCCAAGAGCCCAGCTGAGGTGCCTTTACACTAATGCACACAGCATGGGCAACAAACAGGAGGAATTAGAAGCCACTGTGCTGCTGGAAAGCTATGACCTTGCTGCAATTACTGAAACTTGGTGGGACGAATCCCATGACTGGAATGCGACTATTGATGGCTACAGGCTGTTCAGAAGAAACAGGAGAGGAAGGAGAGGCAGAGGGGTTGCCCTCTACATCAGGAGGTGAATTGAGTGTGAAGAGCTGTCTGTGAAGAACAGCCATGAGCAGGTTGAAAGCCTGTAGGTAAGAATCAGAGACTGAGGCAACAAAGGGAACCTTGCGGTTGGTGTCTAACTACAGGCCACCTGATCAAGCAGAGCCCATTGACGAAACTGTCTTGCTCCAGATACAGGAGGCATCATGCTCACAGGCTCTTGTCCTGCTGGGGAATTTCGACCACCCCAACTGTGGTAGTGTTCTTGGTGTTGAGCCAATCAGGTTCGCCCCTGTGAAATTAACATATTACAACAGACCGGAAAAGGAGACCTGATACATAGCTGGAGGAGAGGCAGCCATGACTTGAGACACCACGTGTTAGAGAGAAGGGCCAGTGAGTCCTGCTGGGGGCCAAGGCCCCCAGCCCCCGACCGGGCTGTGGGGGGCCTGGCGCAGTGTTAAAACTGGACCAGGTGCTGTGGACAAAGGCTGGGGGGAGTTCCTCCACTGTGAGTGGGCAGCAGAAAGACGCCGGAGTGGCGGTGGAGGCAGCACGGAATGGCTGGAGCTAAGACTGGCTTCTAGCCAGAGGACTATACAGAGAAATTCTACAGAGCAAGAGAAGATAACCGGGAAGCAGCAACATGGCACATAGCCAGGCTGAGAGACAGAGATGTCCGACAGAGAGAGAGAGAGAGCCAGCAACAGAGCAAAGAAAACTCAGTAGAGACTGTTTTGGGGTAAGACTGAATTACTCCACAAAACCCTTTAGACCCTCCTTTGGAAGGAGGGGTGGGCTTCCATTCGAAGGGAGTTCCGAAATGCAGCAGCTAGAGAGAAAGAGAGAGGAGCTAAGAACTCTGAGACATCCTGTGAGCTGGACCAGGACAGTCAGACCAAGGAATGCGGGGGAAGTGGCCTCCCCTGCCACGTTTGCAGCAGAGACGGAGCAAAGGAGCTCTTAGAACGCTTGGGGCAAAAACTGAGCTGAGAGCCCCTAAATGTTCTGACTCAGGGGAACTTGACCCCCCAAGGAAGGGACTTTCACAGGATATGACCGTGATAAGGCGAGTTTTGTCCCTGCTTTGCAGCCCATGGGAGAGACCTTTGGCTGGAGCCGAAGGGCCCAGAGGGGTGAGAAAAAACCCCTGCGTTGTAATGAAGAGAGAGAGAGAGATTTTCCAGCTACGACAAAGTGAAACTGCTGCTTGGAAGAGAAGAGATTGTGCTGCCCTGAAAGTGATCTTCTTCTTTCCTTCTGGACTTTTAATTGGAGGGAGAGGAGGGATTTGATCTATGTAAATATATTGCTTTACCATAGGAGAGATAGTTAGGATTGTTGTATATACATGTATTATAGTATTTATTGTGTTAGTAATAAATTCTAATATAATTTCCCCATGCTAGTAGTTGTGTTATGTCTGAAAACTCTCTCTCACATTGAAACAAATTGTGGGGAGTTTGGAAATTGTATTTTTGGGGGACCCAAACCACAACACCAACATAT